TTTTAACGTGGAAAAAAGCAAAAAACAGAGTGAGGTTATGTTGAACTTTGCCTCGAAATCGACGTATAATATCGAAACAGTTCTCGTTAGAGGGATCACGTTTTAGTAATCAGGATTTTTCGACGACGACGTAGAAGCAAAAATGGTTTTATCTGGCCTTTTCACGAACGTTCCATGTTAAACGAGAATTTAATAAAGGAGTAGTTTTGCTCGTTTCGTAGCACCGAATTCACGTAGTTCGTATTAGTTTCGATTTATGATGTTTCTGAAGCATTGGTTCGCAATGATTTTGTGGAAAAAATTTATAAAAGGAATAGGAAATAAGGGAATATTTATAGAAGAATATGAGAAAGAAGAATTTAGAGAAGAATATAAAGAAAAAAATATTTCAATAATATTAGCTTGTTCTCTTTCCTTCATATATATTTTTCCTTATTAAAAAGAACAAATCCCTTTAGCGATTGATTAATTTAAATAATTGAAAAAGGAAAATTATCGAGAAAATATATTTTTTACATGTATTTTTATCAAATATCACGTGTACGTAATTTTTCAATAATAATATACTCTTTTTTAACAGAAATAATTCCCTTTTTACGTGAACCATGTTGAAGAAACCATCCTAAAGAGAACCTTAAACACATGGAAAAATACTGCGAAACCTGAGAATTCTGTTGAAACGTCTCATCAGCAAACCGTAAAATTATCAAGAAAATATATTTTTTACACGTATTTTTATCAAATATCACGTATACGTAATTTTTCAATAACACACTCTCTTTTAACAGAAATAATTCCCTTTTTACGTGAATTATATTGAAGAAACCCTCCTAAGGAGAACCTTAAACACATGGAGAAATACTGCGAAACCTGAGAACTCGGTTGAAACGTTTCATCAGCAAACCGTACTTTAATTTGCTCCTTTTATGGGAGCACGTGTAGTCAACCATTTCAGGGTCTTAAACGAGAACTCGTGTACCTTTATCTCCCGAGATAACGGTGATTCTTGCTTATGGTAAGGCAACACTTAAACCATTATCCGATCCGTGTTTGAACAACAAACATCCCTCTCGCCTCGAGTATAATTTATCAAAGAACCGATACACGAGCCCCATTCTATCTATCTTCTAACCGATTTTAAGATGGCCTCCGATCATCGTGGCATTAGATATTTCGAATTAGAATTCTGTACGCGCGCTCTCTGGGGGGAAATCGATAAAACCGTGAAAAACTGTCAAATATTAATAGAAGGAAAAGAGGTAAAATTAACGATACCTGTGGTTAGAGTTTGATGTGTTAAGGGTGGATTCACGTTTGTGTTTACACACTCTTGGCAGGGATCAGAGTCAGGAGTAAAACGTCGTCAAGTGGTTGAAAAAGAGGGTGGAAGAGGGGCGAGTCAAGGGGCGAGACAAATAAATTTCGACGGTACATTGGGTTCGTTTCCGCCCTCGTATCGTTTCCACGTGAAAAGGAAATGTCTTTCCTTGGAATTAATTTCTTGCTTATACATGGAGACGTTGGAGAGTATCTTTGGTTAAGAATATATTCCATTTCGAGAAATGCTCGAGGTAGTTGCGAATCAAATGGACGATGTAAGTATCTTTATTGATTTTTTAAGTTTTTTTTAGAATTCTGAATGAAATGGAAATAATGTCAAAAGTTCATTGTCCATCCTTTGATATATATTTATATTAAACTTTTTAAAATTTTAATTTTTTCTCTTAATCTTAATGATGCTAAATTTTCAGTAAGAAAAAAAGAGGCTATTCAAATAAAATTATTTTAATTAACCGTCTTATCTTCACTAGTTGCATGAAGTGTATAATTATGTAAATTTCTAACTGGTAAATTAAAGTAAAAAATTCAAAAAGGTTGGAAAATTCAGAATTTCCTTCGTATCTTCTTTTTTCGTTCTGATAAGAACCATGTTCCATTAAAAAAAATTGTAATTAAAATTCTCCACAATTGTCAAATTATGATAATTGTTTTCTTATTACAACTGCATACCATATTGCTCTGACCAAAATGCAAAATTCTTTTGTTTTCGTAAATAGTTTAATAATAATTTACTGTAATAAGAAAGAAAATTAAATATATGATAGATGCATTTGAATTAAACATTTCGTTTCGTTATTGCATTAGAGAAAACATTAAAGGAAATTAAATTAATTAATAGAATATTTATAAATAATCTTTATTTTAGCTCTTTCTTTTTCTTTAACACATGTAATAAAAATAATTTCATCAAATTTACAGAAATCACAGGTCCAAAAAAATATCTAGACCTAGTTTAAATTACCATATGTTAAGAATAAAAATTGTCACGTTAAAATTTGAATCGCCTATTTTTAAACAAACAACTCAACGCCTACGTATATCCGAAATTTCGTACCATCAACGTGGTAAAAAGAAAAAAAAAAAGAAAATACGATTACCTCGACAAAATTTCCCCAAATAAAAAACCGCGAAACTCATCGTTGATTGCGTTACATTTTCCCTCCGACATCTTTCTCCACGACGTGACTCGTACATGGGAAACCAGAATTTCTCGAAGCTCGACTCGAAATTCGATTAGGATATCCGAATCGAACGTCAAAGCTAAATGTCCTCCATACGCTTGGGCGGAAAAGCGTTGCCGCGCCACGTGACCGACAAAAGAAATCCATGCACGGTGTGTGACGTGAAAAAGGCACAAGTCTCTAGCTTCCAGATGGCGCCAAGTTGCAAGCATAAAATGGCGGCCAAGCATTCTTGAGCCAATAGAGTAAATACGTGTTAACTGAACCGCAGCTTTTATTCAAATAGTACGCAGCCACGGCTATATAGGCAAGATGCTCGTTCGTGACTCGAATCGTTCATCTCGAAACGGATGGAGGGATAAGAAGGTCTTAAAGATAGATGAAAAACGAAAGGGCACGTAGCCGGTTCCAGGTTGGGAATACGTGACACGTTCACCTGTTTTCTCGATTCTAGAGACGGGATTGATTTCGCTGCGTCGTTAGAAGCTGGGATTGGATAATGGTTTTGGTGCGGATTTTTTTGTCCCCTCTACGTAGACACACTGACGATTCAGCTAATGCTAAAAAGTTAGATTCTCTTAAGGCCATTAAGAGGTAACCACGGTCCATGATAGCGCGATCGATGTTGCTTGTTAATCGTAATGAACGATAAATTCGTACGATAATGAAAATATTTTCTGTGGAATTATTTGAAATTCAAAATTATTTTTATTTGGTAAGATGTTTGATAGAAACTAATGTAAAAGTTAAAAATGAATATACAAGTTTTTTCTTTTCGATCATTTAAAGTCTTCTTTTAAACTTCTTTATTTCTATAATTAATTTTTTTCCATCAGGTTTCTCTCCATTGGTCATTCATCACTTTTTGAAGCTGATAATTATTAGATATAAATGAGATGTATTAAAAACGAGAGAATCATAGCTTACACCGTTTATACAATAGATTTATTTATAAATTGGATTTTGACTTTTTTACAAATAATTAGGAATCTTTAAAAAAGAAAATTAATCCCTGCCATTAATATTCTAGATGACGATACAATGGCAATATTAGATCGTCCATTTTCAGCGGTATAATTGAAACTAAAATAGAATCGCAATTTAGCCACGAATATTCACCGGTCGCTCTACAAACGTGTACGACGTATCCCATTTCAATTGATTAAACTCTACCCACACGCTAATTGCGTTTAAGTCTTAACAATTCGCGGCCACATTCACCCAGAAACTTTGCCTTTGCCCTCTTCGGTTTTCGAGAGATTACGACGAGCGAACGGAGGGGAGGAACGGGGAAGGTCGTCAATTCTTTGTTTCGTTGAACGGATTCCTCCAGTGCTTAATTATACTTTAATTAAAATCCGCGTACGCCACCCGTGGGAAAGTTTCAGAAGTTAATCCCCACGGAGCCCGCGATACTTTCATATTAGCGGGCCACAGCCGCTAAAATAAAACGAGTTAATTACATTATGGCACCGGGGGTGTCGTACCCCAACTTCCCCTGTATCGTTGCCTCTTTTTCGAACACAATCCTACAATCGTGATTTTTAAAGAAAAGGTAATATCGATAAATAAAATAGGATCAAAGCTCGGCATGTATGGAAACATTTCTATATTTATGTTGAAAAATGTCTTATTCGTCATGGTTTTGACGAATCGATAATAACTCGTATTTGTCAAGCATAAGGAAGAGATTTTTGGAATAGATTTATTTAGAATAAATAAAATATACATCGAATCGAATGATCGAACGTTTTACAATCGTAATTTTGAAATGGAGAAGATTGGTATGTAGCTGATAAAAGTTGAACAAGTTGTTTGAAAATCGGGATCAAAGCTGAGCATGCATGGAATAGTGGATTCTGAATGTAGCTTTAGAGCTTTGGAGTTTCCTTTGTATTTTACCAAACATAAAAGAAGAAGTAAACGAAAGAAGAGAAGGCACGAGAGTCTAAAATAAACATATCGTTCGTTTCAAAAGAAATTCTCGCAGATTTTTACTATCAACTTATTACCAATAATTGAATAATATTGATAAACACAATACAACACAATAAAATTCAATGATATAGTATCAAAAATTTTTTGCAAATAATCGTATATAGTACCACAATTTTGTTACTTGAACACATATTGTTTGTTCGAACTCTGCGCATACCCATCACTACCACCTATGTTTTCTGTAATTGGCCAATGTTTTTCATTTGTTAACTTTAACAAAGGAAAATATTGTTTAAAAAATTACCTCAAGAACTTCCAACTCTTTTGCTCCCACACTTTTGTTCTATACAACATATTTCATTCGATAAATAAGAAAATTAAACAATTTTGCGAACAATTAATTCGGCCAATCTGCTCTCAAAACTTGATCAATCCGCACCGTGTAGAAAGGAATTCGAATGCGACTTGGAGATAAGTTGGAGCCACGTTGGCGCATGGATGCCGGCTGAAACTATCGTGATATCCGGTCGTGTGTTTCAGATGACAGCGATGTCGAGGCAGCGGTACGCGAACCGCAGCAGCGGGAACAGATAAGGAAGGGAGGAGCCACGCGTCGGGCAATCATGTGTAGTGTCATGTGGCTCCTTCGGCTCCTAACGACTTGCTGCCTCGTTTATCTATCGACGTCCGACTTCCACACAGGTATGTGCCCATCGTATTTCCACTCCACTTTCGTTCGGGGGAAAATTTGCATTTCGGTCCAAGTTAAGAATAAAGTTACTTCGACAAGTTCGACTCGACTTTGTTATTCGTCATAAAGCGATCGAATAAACTGCGGAGCAGAGCGTAGAGCGGAGGTTGTGCGAAGAGGGGATCAATTGGTGTTGTATTTTAAATAAAGTTTGTTACTCAAAGTAACTTTATTCGAAATTTTGACTGGTTACTTCTTACTTCAACGGGTTAGTTACTCTGCAGTTTCGTTGCTGGGGATGATTGCAGTTACTAAATTCGGTAATTTATCGTTTAGAGGATTTTATATTTATATGTTGAATGTAATTGCAGGAGGAAATTATCGAAACAGATTTTATTATTTTTAATATTACTGTAGAATGTGAGAGATGTATATGTGTTATATGAAACAGTTTTTTAATAATATAACAGAAAATAATATGTGTTTTATTTTATTTTGAAATAGAAGAGCATTAAATATTATTTTAATTATCTATTTTGTAATTATTATTTTATTTATATTATAACAAACATCATAAATTTTTATTTATTAATATTTTAATTACATACATACGTTCGGGATAAATTAATTAAATCAAAAATCTATAGGTAAAATTATTATTTAATTATATCGTTAACAAATTAGATCAGGAAAAAATGGAAAATCCCAATCTCTCTATCAATTATCATCCATCATCGAGATAACATCCACTCCATCGGATGTTATATCTATCATCGAGAATTTTCTCGACATACGTCATTACTGCTCTACCTTAAAATCATCGAAATAAACGTCAAAAGGTTTTCATACAACCATAATCGTTGGAAAATTGGATAGATCCATCGACTTTTCGTTTCGTTCGACTAAAGTACAAACACGCTCTTCTCTCATTAATCAGAACCAAACGACGTGAACGATTCATAGAACATCGTATCGAGAATATTGAGTTGTTGGAACAATTACAAGTATTTGTTCAAGGATAGGTAAGAATACTCAAACTCACTGATCTGTTAAAAGGCACATTTTTAATATTTTAATATTTTAGGGATCTATGAATATTAACATGAAATAATGGGATAATAAATTCTAAATTTTGAAAGACTTGCTTGTCCTATTAGAAGTGAGAAATTGAATTGAATTGAATCTCCATTTCCTAAAAGTAAATCTAAAATTCAAGATTTAATATTCCACGATGGTTCTCAGATCCTTAAATTCCTATGTTGTAAAACAATTATACTACGAATCTTGGAATGAATCCTGGATCAATCGAAATTTTCGATCTTAATACGACTCACAACTATTTACAGAACGTAAAGGCTGAGAATCCAGAGCAATCTGTGGTTTATCTCACGACCCTGTGATTAGAGTATGATTGTGCTTTTCGAGGCTTGAAATGTTCCATAACCTGTTTCATGACACCAGTCCTGTGAATGCTACGATCTTCAAGCTCTGTGATTCGAGATAGATTCCTATCCTACAAGGAATAAAGTTCCATCTCCAAAGAGAGCACGCTTCAATCAAAGAAAAATTTCCATTTGCAATTCTTACCAATACAAACCTGTATGGAATCTTTTCTATTATTCCTATCATTAAAAAGAGCTTAAATATAACCTATATCTCAAAAATATAGGTTAAAAAATCTCTATGAGAAATCAACGCATCAAAAATCATCGCGTTTACGACTCTGAACTGAACTCGAACAAGTCTGGTTATCGTGGTCGCGTGACGCTCTTGATTAACTAATGAATTGCGTGAAAACGACACGGGGCGGGCAGCGTAAATCGTGCGAGATCGCAGCACACCATAATCGGCGCCACGATCTACGCCACGCGAACGAGGGAAGACTCCATTAACCGAGGCGGGGAAATTAGTTTCCATGAAATTCAGATTTGCGCCCCGTATATAAATCCGGAGCATCGAGAGCAAATTCGTCGTAGCCGCGTACGCGATCAGTTTCCCCTCCCCTCCTCCTCTTCTCGTGTAATTAAGACGCGAGCGAGCCGCGAGGTCGACGACCCCCTCAAATAGATTTCCACTCGCCGATCTAAAATTTAACGTGGCTTGACGAGGCTTCAGGTGGATCTTAATGTTTGTACCCGCTTCTTTCGCAAATAGAGGGTTTGGTCCACGACACGAGTCGAATTATCTGTAATTGGTTTCGAATTTATTTCCCCTCTTTGACAGGAGATGTCGTGAAAGGGCCACGAGAGATATTTTTCGCCTGTGTTTGGATAGATTGGATGATTTGGAGATCAAACGGAGAGCGCGTGAAATAGGGATTGGATGTAGAGGAGGGATACTAGATACGATGCATACTTTGCTTTCTTCAACGAGAGAAAGTTTTGGGGAATTTTATATCGAGGTTGATTGAGGTAATTCGATTTTTATTCAATTCGTCTTGTGATTGTGATTGTTGCTATATAATTTATATAATATTTTATGTAATTTATGTGAAAAGAAAGACAAAACGTAAGATACAGAATCGAGTACTGATTTCGACGCATTTCGATGATATGATATAATCATTTTGTGTTAAAGTTAAAGTTAAATTTCTGACGGTTTGCCAGAAAACTTGGCAATTTATCCTAGATTTTCATGGAGAGCGTTGATCGAAGAATTAATTTAATTTTTAATTTTGAAAATTCTGCTGAAATATTTTTATGGATAGAGCAGGAGGTAGGTAAATTGAAATTACATAGACACGTTAAAGAATTATAAATTAATCATAAATTGGATCTTTTCTTCGATCTAGATTTTATATTATTGGATATTATATTATTGGATAAAGAATATAATAGTGATTAAATAATAATAAAACAAGTTTTCACGCTATCCTGTTATATAAGACGGTCCACCCTAATCTTAAACTATTATAGATAGATTCCATGTTTCATCCGGATTTATATGATTTATGAAAGGAAGAGGATTTTAAAGAAAGGGTAATCCATTAACCAAGCTGCAGGATTATATTCCACGAAATTCAAATCAGAAAGCGGATCAATTTGAAGCTGAAAGCATTAGACAATTTGATTTACGATCATTCTTCTTCGTTGAGGATTAAAAAATATAAAAATTAGCTTATTATCATTTGATAATATAAAGAATCAGATTGATTCGTATTCATGATTGACTCATTTCCAAGATAATGTTTAATTAATATTTATCTCAAGTATGAAGAGTACGATTATTACCAAAATTAAAAATAATAAAAATGAACAATTAATGAATAAGAAGATCAACCACTATTATTTACGAAAGATACGTGTTTATTCATATCTATGTGGATAAATATTCGAACGATGTCTGCGTGATACAGCTTATTCCTGTAATTAATTTCAATCGCGTAACAATACGTTACCAGTAAGTAGCACGGAATGGAACTTCAACCGAAGGATTCCCACTTGTAGATTAGGTGACTATCGTAAATCATTTCGTTGGATCCATCCATCTTCCGCGGCGTCTTCTTCGTGTACAAGACTATCCATCCTATTTTTCACGTTGCATTTGTTTGCCTCGAAGATTACATTTTATTGAAAATATCCACTCTCCTTCCCCGAATATTTTATATCATTAAAAATCTTAAAAACGAATATTATATATTAATGGTATTTAATTTTTATCGATTATTAATGCATCTCATGCGTATCAATGATTCATACATATTTATACTACGTAATATTATTTTTTTTTTATTATACTTCCAAATCTTTTGATAGAAATTCAACCGATTTATTTGAAACGCTTGTAAAACACGCATCGCCGCAATGATTGATTTAAAAAAAAAAATTCTGGATATTTGGTAAAATCGTTCAGAAATAAAGGATACGCACGGTGCTCTATTAATTGATAAAAATAGTATTAATATAAATTTATGATTAAATAATCGTTCGAGTTATTAAATTTTATAAAAATGTTGAAAATTGGTTCTAATTTTTTTTTCTAGGTGCTGTACACGTATATCGTACACATTTACTCGTGTTTTTACTGTGTATTTTATGCATTAAATGATGCAGTAAAATAAATTAAAAAATTTGACACGCGAGTATTAAACGCGAAAGAGAAATAAAATGAAAACGAAAACCACTGTAGATTATTGCACTGTTTCGTTGTACACGTGAAATTCAGTAAACCACGTCACCTGTCCATCAGAATGGAACGTCACGGATTCATGGTTGTAGATTTTTTGTTTTCCTCGATTTTTTTTTTTTTTTTTTTTTTTTTTTTTTTACACATTTCCCATGAACTCCACGCGATGAATCCATCCCTTTGCATTCATCTTTCCCGCTTCGTTTTCCATCCCCTTTCATTTGTCCAATTATTTTTACACATTGAATATACCGAAATTGTATCGTTCTGTAGCTACAACTATGTGTAACAACTATAATTACAATTATTCCTTCAAATTTTATCCATTTGATCATTACACTACGCATAATTACAAATTTTTTTCTTAATTTCAAGAATGATCGCATCACTTAGCAATCAAACTGATCAATTTTATTCTTTCAAAAATTCGGTTAATTTTATTTAACTATTCTCAGAGATTATAAACTACCATCTCTCTTTTATTTTAATAAATTTTGAAACAATTATATAACCTTTCCTTCCTAAAGGAAGCATAATTTTTTTTTTTTCTTTTAAAGAACAAAATTATAAACTCAATCGTAATTGCGAAATTTCCTCTGTAGGTATCGTTCACGGTCTATCGTTGCTCGTAACATGAAGGTACGCTAACTAGATCCCGTTTCCGCTTTCATGTTCCCGGATACGACACCGGCGGCATTCGTCGGCTAGACATTAAAGGATTTCACGATAATCTTCCTTGATATCGAGTTTTAAAACGTCACCGAGCCGTGTCACTATTACTGGTAACGTAATTGCTTTCGCGGTGTAATAATATGCATGCATCTTCGAGGGCTCGTTTAAGTGAACCGACACGTAAACGAACTTGCACGATGTCGAGTTAAAGACC